ATGATGTCAAGACTGATTTTATGCTTGTTGGGACACGGAAGCAGCTCACAAAGGTGTCTATCGATGGCATCAGAGTCGGAGATTATAATATTAGTCCTTCTTCATCAGTCTGTAATCTGGGCACATGGTTTGATCCGCATTTGAATATGGATGTACATATTACCAAAACATGCAGCAGCTCATTTTATTATCTTTATAATATCAGACATATTAGGAAGTACTTATCTAGAAGTAGCACTGAAACACTAGTTCATGCGTTTATAACAAGCAGACTTGATTATTGCAACAGCCTTTTGTATGGGTTACCGAAATATCAGTTGTCTAAACTCCAGCGTGTTATGAATGCTAGTGCCCGTTTGGTATATTGTGCTCCAAAGTCGTGCCACATCACGCCTCTACTTCACGAATTACATTGGCTGCCTGTTTGTTATCGTATCGAATATAAAATAATTCTTCTTACATTTAAGGTATTGCATGGTATGGCGCCCGATTACTTGCGCCATTTAATATCTATCTTGCCGCCATCTAGGTATAATTTAAGGCGCAACGATGACTCTGCAGCTTTATTAACTTTCCCGAAGATAATATCCAAGAAGACCCTGGCAGATAGATCGTTTAGTTGTGCCGCCCCTAGACTTTGGAATTCGCTTCCTACCACAATTAGATCTATTTCCAGTTTAGATATTTTTAAAATTAGACTTAAAACTTTTTTATTTAATAGGGCGTTTAATTAGTTCTATAGTTTTTATAATTGAATTGCATTATTTTAGAATTGTAATTTTGAACTTCTATTTTAATTTCTAATTTAATATTTATTGTAAGGCGCAGTTGAATATTTTTATAGAAACTGCGCGGTATAAATTTAAATTTAATAATAATAATAATAATAATAAAGGTGGTCAATTAAAATCTAAACAATCAAGTTATAAAACAAACATCGTTTCAAGAAATGTTTCGTCTCGAAATTAGGCAGTCATATTCAAGGAACTGAATGTTTTAAGCAATAGCTTTTTAATCCTAAAAACTGAATAAATCTCGCTCTACCGTTACCATTATTGCGGCTACTTCTTGGACAACTGCGATAAGTACCAGTAAAATTAATTTGAGCGTGTAACCTTGCGTGAAATTTTGAGATTGCAAAATGAAAAATCTCCTCCATTTTTCATTAAAAGGAAATTCAACAACAAAAGAAGGAAAAGTTTCGAGATACTTAAAGGTTTTTCTTGTTTTTTTACACGTTTTCTTATTTTATTACAAATACCACACACTCCAAGTAAAACGGTGCAATTTATTCAAGCGTTATGAAACACTTTTCAATATTGAACGCTTCATGCACATGTTCTAATTGGTGGAGTTGATCATCAAGAGTCATCAGAGATCATTATGTTCTCGGACAAGTCAGTGAAATTTCAATGATAATTTCGTTTCCCAAACAACAGTTCAGTTTCTCATTCTCTTTAATTTTCATATTACAATTCTTGACACCTTTAATGAGGAGAATCTTACTTTGGATAAGCCTGTGATTTATTGCGATGAGGAAACCGGCCAAACTGGTAGAAATCGTTTTACACAGGGTATAAAGTGAGTTAGAAAAGGGCCTGGAGCGAACTTTGTTGGTTTTATAGGGCGGCTTTGAAAATTGTTATTCCTTACAAACCGAAAAAGCTGGAAGTTTTGTTCGCAATGACAAGATATCTTAACAAGCCTGTGGCACCTCGAAACTGTTTTCAAGTCCCCAAACGCATCAATTCATAACATTAAAAGGCGCTACGTTCCATTGACATAACTTAATAAAGCGGAATAAAATGATTCAGTTGAGTAGCCTGGATTACCTAAACTTTAAGCAGTCAGCCTTGTAGCGCTTATTACCTCATCATAACGGCACGTGCAGGTAATAACTAAGCTTTTGACCAATCACAGCGCGTGACTTACTAAACCGTAACGGGTTGTTTTGGTTACCTCATCTCCCGGGAACTAAGCCGATACTCTTTATAGAAGAACTAATAACTTTCGCCTTCAATATCTTGGGCCAAAACAGGATTAGAACGCAGCTACAACTCTTCGTTATGCTCAGTAAGAAATGGTTTTCTTTAGCCTTATTGGCTACGCTAACATATAATGTATTTTTTACTTTTTCCTTGCAACACTGTATATCTATGTGGTCTTCATTCGCGCGAAGAGGTTCATTCGTTGCTAAGTACGCTTACAGCAGATCGAGTATATTGCAGTTTTTCTCCCGCCCAGAGAGTTCAAAAAGCATTTGAGATTTCATTGTGAGCAGTGGAATTCAATCAACTTTTTTTCTGGTAAGGTAAGAGTTCTAACGCAATAATTCCTCGACACACCTTTTTGTTGATATCATTTTGTTTTCATATATTTGATTCTGTCATGTTTGAGATAATGAGTATCAAGAGAAGAGACCGAATTCTCCCTCAAATCATTTTAAGATTTATAACATCTGTTTCTCCGGGTATATTGTGTTATTTGATGCTAGAATGTTTTGGTGGAGAAAGGATTTAATCACTTGAGCAAAATTTGTCACTCAATATAAGTTACTTCTAGCTTGCTAAAAAAACGTAATTTTGCGTTTATCAGGCGAGCGGATTTTTTCACGCTTGCCTCCGAATGCACGAGGACGGAAATAATGACGCCTTTTGCGTGAGCTTGGTCTTTCTGTGCCTTCTTACGATCTCCAAACACAGGTGTGATCTGAAACTGAACAAATTAAGAGGGACGGCCTCAGGAATAAGTTATCCTTGAGGTACTCTGCAGCGTAGCTTGATTTTATATTTGATCAGTGTGAGCTATAGGAAGTCAGTTTCCTTAACCCCTGCGGCGCTTTTCGATATCGAGCGAACTCTGAGGCTCGGAGCCAAACATGTAATTTCGCTTCATGCTACCGTCAATCATAGTAAACGGACATCAAAAAACCAATAAATCAAAATCATCCAATCACAACTCGTAAGATGACTCTATTAAACGCTACAAACATCGAACTTGTTTTTCGGAGGTCTGCAACGTGATTGACGGCAGCGTCAAATGAATTTTTTATGAACTATGTCCAAATTCATAGTTTGTATATCATCGAAAAGTGTATTTAAGTATTACTTTTCCAGGGTACATCTTGAGGTCACTATAAAGCGAGAATTCTAATCTCTGACACATACCTGCATACAACAGACTACCTCCAATGACAAAACAGCGAAACAGATCTCAGTGCAATCCCATAGCTCTTAGTTAGTTTAGAGTAAAAGGCTTCTTCCAGCGTATGAACGGAGAAAAGTTTCAAGCACATGTTTATCATTTGCTAGTTGCTTTTGTCCCGTTTGTTCATTGGATTTGAACACTTGGCGTACTCCGTGGAAATTATCATTATCAGATTACTGCATAAAATATATTTGTGTTGGAACTGAAATAAATGAGTGAAAAACCTCAGGCCTGTGTTACACATTTTCAGTATCAAGGGTTTATCTGATTTAAACCTTTTTCAGAACTGGCTCTCTTTTACCTTGCCTTGCAATTTTCAGGTCCATCTATCCTCGTAGTAGTTAAGGAAAGGGCCAACCACTAACTGTTGCAGGCAACATGAAAGGTAGTGGATATTTTACCGGAGATATAATCGTAGCGAAGTACCACCCTTAAAATTTGAGGGTTTATCCTGCTCTTTTCACCTGCGCAGCAATTGGTCTCCTTGGTTGACGTCATTGATGACAAAAGGGTACAGGTCTAAATGAACACATTTGTTAGGATATAAAAGATTTTTGAGCCAAATGAATCCCTGCTCAATCTCTGAAACCTGCTCTTCCCCACCACCACCCCTCATCCAATGTTTTAAAGAGGTATTTGAGTATGACATAATGACCCTATCATGAAGGGAGGGGGGAGGGGGGGGGAAGACATGAAGTTACCAAAATAATCTGCCACAGAGGAACGTTGCACTTACGACGCAAAATTTTTTCAACAAATGTGATTCTGGTTGAGGGTTGTCGAGCCTGTTTTTTTTTGTCATCGAGCTTGCCTCGAACTGGAAAAGTTGCTGTGATGAGACAAAAACTAGTAAATTGTTTGAGAAGGATCTGTCATTATTAGGTAATATTACTACTAAAAATAAAACAATATTTTGGTTGACCTGTGTTTGCTCAATGTGTCACTTGGAAATGACTCGCACCTAAAGAAATACTATAAAAGAATCAACCTCGGTACGCTCAATTCACGATTTTTTTGTTAATTTTGCCGGGGGTAACAAAATTTACTATTGGCAATATGAAAACATCCAATATCTTTCCCACCTTGAAAAAACGTGATGAGAACGTAATGTCTAAAACCATTGTATTTTATCCTTACACTCAATCCATGCACACCTTCGTGTTGCATTAACACCATCCACTTGGATTGAATTACAACGTTAGCGTTCCTGCCTTTTGCCAGATACATATGCAACATAGCCCGCAGTACTGATCCTCCATTTTCGACAAGCTTTCTGCTTCCGTGATCCGACTTAGGCTTACACTAGATGTGTATCACGTGTTAACTCCGACCGTGAGCTCACTCGCCAAAGAGTTCTCTGTGTCTCCGTGTTAAAGCGTTTGAGGACTGAGGTTGAGTCCTAACTAAGGCTTGGGGACATTTCCCTCTATTTTCCACGTTGGTGACCAATGGAGGAGTTGTGGCTTGATTGATAATTTGTTGCCTGTGTTATTGTTACAAGACATTTTATTCTCTCTCTTCACCCAGGAGTGGGACTGGGTGCCGGCAAAGGTAATAAACGGCGGGAAGGGGAAGGGAGGGGTGGGCGGGGAGACCCGTTATCGACCAGCATTCCAAGTGGCGATGCTCCCAGTCGCTCTATGTCATAGAAAACAGTACAACGGTGATCATGCGGGTACGTCTTCTATTGAGACTGGACTATACCGTTTAGGTAATGATTTATACTTCTTACCTCACAGGGACTAACACTGTTTAAAAGTCTTATTGAATAAGTCCACGACAATCACGTAGGATCTATTTTGTAATGAAACTTTTTAATTAACTTTCCAAGAAGATTACTGTAATTTACAACCAACCTTTTTAAGCTTTCTCAGTCGATATATAAGGAGCTTAGTGTAACACACTGAACATAAGGCCACCATCAATCTTTTTTTGGAATTCTTTCTAAGCTTATTCTTCTGTAGGAGCAAAACTAAATTGAAAAATATATGTTTTTAACGACAAGAATTTGGAAATGATACCAATTGAAAATGAAAAAAAAAGCCATTCAACTTGTGTTGAATATGAAATCAGAGGCATTTTCCATAAAAATTCATGACTACCTGAAAAGCTTCTTCTTGTGATGCCATAACACATGCAGTATTCCGCATTTACGAGAAAAGCAATGTAAACATAAACGCGAAATACCACATACTCCAAAGATGGCGTCAAATCAAGGAGTAATCAAGTTAAAATCATGCATTTTTCTGGGTTTGTCAACTTTTAAAAAGTAAGGCTAATTCATTCGTATATATTGCTTTTTTCCTCATTCTTCGCCAGAAAGAAGTTTTGTGAAAAATGAAACTGTAATTAATCAAGTTACATTAAAACGTGAAGCGCAACACAACGAAAGGGTTTTATGAGGATAAACTGCCCGATTAGAGAGGAAGGAAGCTTTCCATGATCAAGTCTAAATAAAAATCATTCATCCTTTACCACAGCTTTGCATTAATGATTTTGATCACGGAGAATTTATACCCTGTTCATTCCTTTTTCCCCAGTTTCTTCCTCAGAAAACCCTTTTACCATCTCAAGCAATTTCATCAATAATTTCTGATAACCGAACGTCTGCTTTCCTGCTTGAACAAAAACATTACTCTCGGAAACGCAATACGTATTTCCATGAATCATCTTGCAAATTCGTAAGCGTTTTACGCCAGCAAATGTCTCTTATCTTTGCTGCGTTGTAGGTACACCGGTGAAATTCAAAATAGCTCTAAAATTCCCAAATCTTTTTATGGGGAGATCTTTTGTTGGGCTTGTTGGGAATAGTGCTGGCAGATCGGCCAGAACCGGAGCCAGAATCTTCATCATCTTCGTCGTCATCCTCCTCCTCATCTTCGTCTGATTGCTCTTTTGAGCTCTTCTGAGCTTTCACTGCCTCACGAATGGCGTCCTCGTCAGCAGTTTCTTCTTCCTGTTCATCCTCGGTGTTGTTTGATTTAGCCTCCTTGAGTTCCTCAGCTACGAAAAAAGTGTCATGGTCTCAGTAACCGCATGAACATTTTTTGTTCACGTCACTGAATCTAGCCTAGATAATCTCACCATATCCAGCTATTCTAAAGTGATGTCGGGGGGGGGGGGGTGGAGGACTTTGGCGTAGTGCACATGGTTTTCAGGGGGAAACGAAGGGGCGGGGGGGGGAATCGCTAACAGGGTGTAAAGGTAGGACTATAAAAAATTGTCTGGGATCAGGTAAATTTTATCCTCACACCCCGCAGGCGAGAAATAATTCCCGGTTCTTGAGAAATAAAGATATGTTATTTCTTATTGTGTTTTTTAAGCGTAAAAAGCCAAGAAATAAGTTTATTAAGGTATACTTTATCGACTACACATTTCTCGGAGGATAAATTGACTTGACTCGAACAGAAGTGATTGCATATATTTCTGGCTGTACACAAGCATATATAGGAACCAATGTCCAAAATAAGGTCTTAAGCCTTTAACCCCTAAGAGTGACCAGCATCTAATTTCTCCCTTCAATGTCACCTCTGAATCATATATTAAGGTCATGAGAATAAAGGAAACGATCTCCAACTGAAGAAGCTCTTGATTGTTAAACAAATTCTCCTTGTTAGCACCCAAGGAAATGTATGGAGAACAGTATGGAGAATATGGATACTGATGTTAGGGTGTAAAGGGTTAAGACATCTCACCAGCTAAAATTTGACTTACCTAAGGTAACTTTTTGGCTGTGTTTTGTGTTGTGGTTCTTCACCTTGTTCTTCTTCAGCGTGTGGTGACGATATTTCAGATGAGCTTTGTGATGTTTCTTGTGATGATGAACCTCCTCAGTAACTTCATCTTCTTCATCCTCATCGTCGTCATCGTCATCAGCATCTTCGCCCGCTGGCGAGAAAGGACAAAATTCATAAATTTCCTGATGGAATCGTTGTTATTTCAACCATTTTATTGTAATAGTTGGAGTGTGCTATGCTATGAGGTTGCAGTTTTGACGGTTCTTTTTCGTTGGTTTATAGCTTTAGTTTCCCCATCAAAAGATGAAATTTTAATTTTTTTAACATCTCCAAGGAACAACTTGTTACTTGCAGGTGTTACAGATGATTCATGACACTTAGCGGCCTTTTTGCGACAATAGCTCAATCAGCACGAAATCTGATAGATCTTTGGCCAGGAAGAAAAAAAAAACTGCTCGAAAGGTCTAAATTTCATAAATTTGATTTATACGATAAACCATCAACGTAGAAGAGGTGAGCAAACCAACCACTGTGATGCCAATTTGATCCACAGACTGATATAAGCGTCCCGTGCAAATCTGATTTCGCAAGACCCTTATTTTTAAATCACTCACCAGACGAAAGATAAGTTACTTACTTAGCTTCTTCTTGCAGAGAAAATAGAACTTATCATCACAGTGGAAAGTTGTCCATTGTCCGTTTTGATCGGTAGCCACGCAATCCATTTCTTGGTCTGCCCGCTCGTCCTTGACGTAATCCATTTGCGGACTCATGGACTTGTACGTCATGTTACTTCCATCGCTCCACATAAAGTCGCTCTCATTTTTCATGTCATTCAAACCGATCCAGGTAAAGCTGAGAGACGAAAATAGTGTTTTATTAACGATTTTCGACTGAGTGTCGTAATACCAGAGCTAAAGTAATAACGATTAATGTCTCTCAGGTATCTGTGGTACTGCGTCGGTTGTGGGTATCAGAAGATATTTTGGTTTATGGACTGAGTTTATGAACTGTAAATTGACTTCCGTTAAGAGTCTCTAAACTGAGCTGACGTTTCGAGCGTTAGCCCTTCTTCTTTCGCTCTGACGATGGGCCAACATAAGAAACATCAGCTCAGTTTAGAAATTCTTTACAGTAGCCAATTTACATTAAGTTTAATCAACTGAGTTGATAAACCAAATTATCCTAGAGTAATAACAACTGCTAATAAGAAGACAGCGAAATAGTGAAAAACGTAAAAAATAACTCAGCTTCAAGAGCGAGAAGACGGGGCTGATTAGGTCAAGTTTCTTTCTGATTTAGCATTTAAATGGTTGGAAATGTGACACGAGTTTTCTCTTTTTTAAATAAAGAGTGAAGCGAAGCAAATAAGTCTAATCCCAGATTCTTATTCTATTCAATAGTTGAAGCAGACAGTACTTTATTATCTGGTCATAACCCTCACTGATTTTGAAGGATTCGGAAATAGGGAAACTCATTCTCCCCGTCTTAAATACCCGGAAGGTAGAATCTCGTTCATTCATTGATGTGGTGAAAAAATTGCAATAACTAACCTGAGGAAGCACAATCTTACCCGCAAAGCTGTACTTGGTTCTTGACAAAGTCGGCTTCCTCTTCACCCTTGATAGAGGCGAGGTCAGCACCATATTCAGCACACTTGTCTCTAGCTCCGTGCCATGTGTTGAAATCAGTCATCAGCCTGAAGCAGTACACTCCTTGGTCGGTTGAGAATCGTCTCCAGAACAGAGGACACACTTTGGAAAAAATAAACCGAATAGCTTTATCAGCTGGCCATCAGGTACGATTCTGGAGGGTCGTTTCTGTCTAAGGGTTGTTACGCTAGTAATTCTGCAGATACTTGAGCTATCAAATTACTAGCGGTACCTTTTTGGAAGGCTACCGCTGACCTAAAAGCACCATTTGGGGTTTTTCCTTCAGAGCACTGCAATATCTTCCAACATTCGACCTGTGTTTGGGGATGTGTCAGGTTGCCTTGAATGTCACGAGCTTCCTTGGACCCGTAAAGCGTAAAGAAACAAACTACCTATCCACGGATATTGTCTTAGCAAGCACTTGTTGAAACCATTCTTATTTTAAAGAGGGAGAACAACATTTACCATCTCTTTTATTCATCTACTTACTTTTGTTGTTAAATCTCTTGCTACTCTTGCTCCTTGTATTCTCGATGATCCATTTGGTGACATAAGGCCCCGCATAGGCATCGGCTGCCTCAACGTACATTTTCTTGGACACGACATTCCCTTGTCCAGATTGGTGTACAACGCGGACGGAATTGATAGCAACAGGCTGATTGAACTCATACCCAATGAAATCTTCACCTGGTCCTCGACTGTACCATCCATTGGGAAGCCAATAAGTGCTGCTCCTGTTGTCGAAAGCACTGCCGGGCTCATATCCAAGGTAGCTTGAGCTAGCGAACGCCTTTCTTGGATCTGGTGTATCCAAAGGTCTCTTGGCGCGTTTGTCCGCAAAGAATTGGACCTTGTTTAATACCCAAGATCTTGGCAGTTTTGCTTCGTTTACTATTCTCCAAAATCTGTGTCCTGTTCAAAGAAAAAATTAAGACTCCTCTGCTGAAATTATGACTCAGAGCGTCGTCAGGGAATGTTGCAATTTTATGAGGTTTCTCTGCTGGAACAACGCTTTTCTCATTAACTTTTTTATCATTGATTTAATTTATTATGGAATTTTGGTCAAAATACAGAGCTTTTACAAACTTACGTATTCCTAACAATGTTGGAACTCACCAATGTTCTCAGACGAGTCACACCAATTGCATGAATCTTTACAGTAGTTGTACATGAAGTGGTGGTTTTCTTCACAGAAACATGGATTCCTTGCCTTAAGACAGAAGTTGTTGGCTCTTTCATCGTCTAGACAAACTCCTGTTGAAGAAGATAATATTGAAAGAACTTATTCTCCCATGAATAGAGATAATTTTCAATCAATTGTATTCCTGCCTAATAGTAATCGCGGAAATTTCGTCTACCCCTGAATGGTTTATTTTCCTTAAAAATAGATTTAGCAGCCATATTCTCTTAAATAATTTGCTAGGATGAAGCATAGCATCTGAAGAGAAGCAGTCAAATCACAACTTTGGTTTTAAGTTAGGTCTCGTTCAGAGGTCACCATGAAGTCAAATGGCAAATAATAATTTTTGTGCATTACAGAATATAGGCTATACATAGGATTTAGCTAACATACCTGTCAAATCGCTTCTTGCTGTCAAAAAAACAAAAACAAAATTAATCATTAAGATTATAACTTTTCTAAATGAAACACTCATCGAAAAATAAATGAAAAAAAAAAAAAACACATTCACGTAGTCAACAAGTAAAATCCACCTACTTTGGGCCTTGCTTGAACCTGTAAGAAAACAAAGCAATAAAAAAAATTAAGATCGTAACCTGCGACATTTGCGATGATGCTAGGGCGGATCATCCTATTAGAAAGAGTAAAATGATAACAATAATAATAATAATAATAATAATGATAATAATAATGATGATAATAATAATAACAAAAAAAAAACAAAAAAGGTATCAACAACAACAACGGCGAAGAAATCGTCAAACCAGGTAAGAGATTGTATCACTGTTAAAACTAATGTATTGTTTCAGTCAATGTAGAGTTAATATGTCTGATTCAGAAGGTCCAGTTCACTAGCAGTCTACCTCTTGTCCTCCATGTACAGTGTTTTATGCTTTATCAATAATGGTTAGTGGGAGGTAACCCTTGTCAGAATAGGATAGAATAAAATGCAATCCAGCCACACTCCGAAAATAAAACCATCACTCTGCCAATTTAATCAGTTGGTGATTTTGCTCGATTCTGTAAATTTAGATTTGCCACTGAGAGCCACTCTATATCGCCAGTCAACTCAAATATATTTAAGTCGTCAAGGTTTCCTTGTGACTAAAGGAAGACTCGGTCAGAAAAGAAGGGATGAAAAACCCGACTGGTAAAACTCGAACAAATAAATTGAGCAAAAAACGATTTTGAAATAGATTATTTCATCTGGATTCCTATGTCATCTCCTGATCTTTCTTCTCAACCGGCTCACTTCTCACATGCCACATGATTGTTGAAACATCCACTGCAGAACTTTCCTAATGGAAATTGTTTGCGAATTTAAAAAATAGGAGAGTTGTTTCAGTTTTTTCGTTACAATTGTTCTCGACGTGCAGGTTTTGTTCTAGAAAAAAGTGAATTGTTCTACCGTGTTTATCTGTTTGTATCAGCAATTTAATTCGTCAAAGTTTCATACTGTCTCTGTTTTTGTTTGTGTTGTTTGTTTAGCCGAACATACCTTGGGTGGAAGTAGACTTGGCCACCTGAGCCACTGAAAACAAAAACGTTTCACATTTTCTTATTTTTTTCTTTGTTTTGGAATGATGAATTTTGATGATATGTTCATTGAGACGCCGGCCTAACCAATCGATTATAATGGACGAACCCAAATCAATCGATATCAAGGGATGGCTGTTAATTGATTCATATCGATTGACGCTGGTCAGTTGATGACCAGTGGAGAACAATCACTATCGATTAAAAAAAATGACGGTCAAATGCAGCTTTACATAGGAAAGTGGAACTTATAAACAAATCCATTCGCTGATAAACTAGTGTGACAATATTTGATATAAATTGGGCAAAGCACCCAAAAAGGAAGGGCAGGAGCCTCAGCATGTTTACTTTGTAGCTTTGTAAATGTCATTAATTCTCAGTGTAGATTTATTTTTAAGGATGGAAGCCTAATCATTTCTCGTGGTAGTTAGTCAAAGAAATTTTTAGTTCATTGAATTAGCTGAGCTAAGTTAGTTTAATTACCACTGGGTACCTTACCTGCGGCAGCAATCAAAGCGGTTGCGGATCGAGCAGGGGCTGGAGCTGGGTAGGCGTAAGCAGCAGGCGCTGGGTACGAGGAGTAGTAGGGAGCTGGTGCTGGTGCTGGGTTATAGCTGTAGCTGTAGCTTTGAGATGAAGGTTGGTAAGTAGCAGACGCTGATGAACTGTAGGGGACAGATGCTCTGGCGCCAGCTGATGCCTGTGCTGTTGTAGAGGAAGCCGGGGCAGAAGCTGGTGAAGCAGGAGCTGGAGCTGGAGCCGGAGCGGCAGCCGCTGGTGCGGGAGCCGGAGCCGGAGCAGCAGCGGCTGATGCAGCGGCTGGAGCCGAAGCAGCTGCCGGTGCTGGTGCTGCTGCTTGGGCTGTTGCAGCTACGGCTCCTTGCGCTGAAGCTCCTGCTGCCGCTGTTGCTGTCGCAGGAGCGGGCGCTGAGGAAGATGCAGATGCAGTGGCAGGCGCTGGCGAAGGAGAAGAAGCTGGATATGGCATTGCTGACCTGCTCTGTCCAGTATTATACGCTGAAACGGATTAAAAACTTCGAAGTCACCTCCTCTAGCCTTTATATTATAATTGCTGGGGTATTTGAATAATTTGTTTTTTTGAAATAGTCACTCAGAGACGACCTTGGCTTACCTGCACTGTTGTAAGATGTGGTAGCCTGTGCGGTGTACTGTGATCCATACGAAGGGTACCCTAGAAAAAAAGGAACAGAACCTTAAAAAACCTGCAAGGTTAAATAAGCAACTGTTAAGGACCGCTCGGTTTTCTGCTGATGAGTTATTTTCCGAAAATCCCACGGCCATATTTCTGTGTTTTTTCGGAGAAGCAAACATGAAATAATGGAAACATCTGCTGTTAAGTCTTTTTTTTAACTACCATTAGTTACCCATTGGAAAACAAACTTAAACAGTTTTGCAGTGTGCGTGACAGCCATCTGGCCGCCATTTTTGTTTGCGCGACGTAAAAACCCATTTCGTTGAAACGTGCACAACGCTTGATTTTAAAAATATATTCGCTGGCTGGTTATAGGATCTGTATGAGCCTTGCCATCTGGATTTGGTTTATGATATCACGCGACAAACAATAATACAGATATATTTCCGTGTCGGTTAACCACTTTTTTTCATAAAAAAAATCAAAATTATTTTCTTTGTTTTCTTTCTCTTCTTAGTCCATTGTCGCAATTTCTAACGAAGTCTGCCTCTTTTGAGTGGTAGTACTTTAACGCATGCTTAATTCAAGCTTTTTTCTGACCTTAACGATCGCAGGCTCCATACCAGATAAGTTTCACCAAGTTTGAGCTAAGTCATTGTAAAATCCACATAGTTTTATAATGTACTGTAACTTGCAGAAAATTCCATTTTTTCAGTTCATTGCTGGGCACATAACTATGATTTGATTACGGGTAGCAAACTGATAAGACAACTGATGAAAATGTTTTGATACCATTGACTGTAGGCGCCGCAGGAGTCCGCCATGTTTTTTATCAACACTAGCTGATGTAAAATGATGTCATGAAATCTCACCGTTTGTCGAAGGAACTGTGTCCCGTTTCACTTGTTTAGCTGTGAGGAAAAATTGATAAAAAGCAAGTTGAAATTTAAGTTGTTGAGCACTTTGGGTGGCAAGTGTGATTTAAAGCTAATTTTCTAAAGTACTTTTAATTGCTTAGTGACTTAAATACAATTTGCGATGACGGTAAAGGATTTATCGGAGTTTCCACATCTTAAGTTTTAATTTAATTTAACTTAAATGGATAACGATTTTCGTAACTTTTTACTGTGGAAAATCAACTGTTGCATAACAATTATAAAAATGGTCGCTATCTATCGCCAGAAACACGAGGCGTGAAAATAAAAGATATCCCGTCAATTTTGTGTCTGTTAAAAAGTGGAACAATAAAAATGGCTGAATCTTGAAACAAAATTAAACCCTAAGGCATTTTTTAAGCGCTCTTCAGAGTGTAGTGTAGATATAAACTTGACACATTTATAACCACCTTGATGTCATTTTTAAAACACTTTTCCCAAACTGACAATATAACAACAACATACTGTATGTTCAAATATGTTTATATGCTAGCATTCATGTTAAGGCACTCACACTCTCTGTCATCTGTCCATTTGGCCTTGTGACTTTTCGGTTTTATGTGGAATGTTCCTTTTATTACTAAAAATTTCAAAGTAGAAAAAAAAGTGAAATATCGCCATTGTTTATATAATATTAATGGCCTAAATCGCCCATGAGTTTGTGTTGAAGACATCTTGTAGACTTCGCTATTCTGAACTTCCTAGCATACTTTTATTTGCCGAATCTCTCTTTTCTATGTTTTTCAAAATAACGTCTAAAGACTCGAGCCATTAAAACCCGGAGTGATTTACCAGGGGACTCGACTATATTTTAGAGATAACAACAGGTTGCTTTTATGTAGCATATTCTTTAAGTAGATGTCTCCTTGTCGTCTACACCCTGAGACTAAAGAATCGAAAGTAAAGAATTTGATTCTGTGGTAATTCAATTCTACATGAAATGATTACTCATTGGGGCTGTTAACTCCCAAATCAGAAGCACTAAATGTTCGTGAATCACATCTAAGAAATTCGAGTGTTTAACCAAGATGATCGGAATCGTTGGCTAATATTTGTAGATAGCACCATTGTTTCCAGCTTACCTTGAAGTTCTAAACAAGCTACGAGAGCTAATGTTACAAAATACTTCCTCCACATCACTGTAAAAGTGGTTTCATAAATCAGTTGGGAGAAATCCTTGGTTCTAATCTCTCTTAAATTCCTCGTGATCCCAAACAAGACGCCAAAGAACAAAGACTAGGACCCAAGGTCATAAATAAATAATTATGAATTAAAAGCCATGACATGTACCCGGGGAAATTGATAAACAACAGTGAAACCAATGCTGTGGTCAGCGTTCGCTAATGACGGCAAATATAATGGTCATTTTTATTTTATTTTCAAGAACATATCTAGCGGGAGATTGCTCTGATGTGATTATATTTTCCAAAACAGCCCTAGGGTCTCCATTCCAAGGAAGACTGGAAAAATTTCCAAACATGGATTGTTCATGGTGGTTTACACCTTCCAACAGTTTTTGAACAGTGTGGCAAATTCTTGACAGAAACAGGAAAAAATTGCAGCCAGCTTAAAAAACTCCTAAATTTGGAAGGGTAGCCACAATGTTGGCAGATTTAACAATTCTTCACTTATTTCTAGAACATTATCAAGGTTTTTAAGCAAAAACTGAAAAAGCTGATCAATACAAAATGGCCTGAACAAAAAATTGTAATCAACTCTTAAATTGTTTAAAATGCCATTATCCTTTTTTTTTTTTTTTTTAAATTCTCGAAGTCCGTTACACTCAAGAAAGTCAACCGTTTCAAATTGACAAGCGTAATATATTTCAGGCAGAGTTCTGGCGTGTTTTCACAATACGAACACCCGTCCCCTGTGAAAATAATGGATTCCTTCTGGTAATAGCAGGTGCCAGGCATTGCTTCTGCTCGGTAAGCGAGCACCCCAATCCTACGAGAGATAAGCGATGCCCGGTGAATGGTTCGCTGACTTGGAAGCAAGTCACTTTAATAACTCCCAGACATCTTTCATAGACTGCACTCGGTCTTGACCTGGCCAAGTTTATAATATACGACAATTCAAATCAGCAAGTCTGAGTGGGTTTTTCCTCATAGGCTAGTAACGTTAGCAGAGTTTTCTTGTAAGATCATTGTCAAGGAGCTGTGCGTAATCAGTCGGCGAGGTAACCAAATTGCTTTGATAGGTACAATGGTTCGCATGATAGGGATTTGGATGCGAACGCGTCAATATGGAGATGCAATTTTGGAGGCAATTTGTTTTTCCTTAATTATCATGATTAGCGCGGGAACTGGGGTAGAATTCTATAGCAAAGTTTCCAACCGGTGACTTTGTGCCTGCCACATGTATGGTTATGTGGCACAGTTCTGCATCGATCTGCAATTGAAATGAACTGCATTTTGAATTTTTTAACAATAAAATTGAGCAAGCGGTGTTCAAAAGTACACTTCTTAGATGGAAGTCAACATACATGGCGTAGATTACTCTTTGTTTACAAAATCACGACGGCTCGGAACTACCTCTTACAGCTGGTAAATTATATTTATACTGCTAATAAAGTTGGTAATATCGTGTCCTTAGTTGGATTCTATTTTACACTCGTCAAGCTGAAAGTGTTGATATTGTTTATCATTAGTTAGTTTGTTATCTAACTAGTTATTTTGTTTCACGTCTTGTGTAAACTCAGTTCCTTAAAGTTCAATTTTTTTTGCTTTCGTTTTCTGGTCGCCTTAGTGCCTGATTCGTTTCTTTTCTCTCGTCGTTACATCGGTACCTCTTTGGTAAGTCAAATAAAACATTTACAAATCGTAAAACTGTAGCTTCGTCCCCACGTGTCAATTATCAGTGCTTGAGAGAGATGATCATAACGAAATCTAGCACTTGTACATAAGAGCTTCTAACTGAATCGAATCGCAAAATAGAACCAGTTTTGTTCTTCACCCAATAATCAAATTTAATCTTCCAGAATTCTTGCCGGCCTTGCTCTTCTTTTGCAGAACATGAACGCCTAGATACAAGAACGCCTCGACCAAATACAGTTCTGTTCCCGTTCCTAGAAGTTGTATAAATAGCAAATAGACTCGAGACTTCTACAATAATACCCAAAATTATCCTCGAGTTGATGATGCTTGTGAAGAGCCCAAATTAGCTTTCGACGGGTTATAGGTTAAATTCTTCAAGGTTGATTTCGCTGTAACGTAACTTTGGCTCCTCTGCAAAAATTGCCTATACTATTGCTGTTTTATTTTAACCTCGGATTTAGCTGTCATGGCAACGTATACTTTGAAGTCAGTCAATTCAAAATTATCTCTACTTGGGTCTCGAACAACTTTGCTGAAGTCAGAGAAAGTGACTCTCAGGAGAAATTGCTTTCTACATTGTCAAGCCCAAAATAACATATACACTACTCCGCCTACCAGTTTCCTAACGGCCACAGAATTAGGACTGAAAGCGCATTTGACCTCAGGCATATTCATATAAAAATATTCTCGTCACCATTTTTTCTGGCCCTGTTACTCGCTAGGTAAAATATGGACGCGCAAGTGGAGAATACAATTTGGTTTTTCTCAGCCATGGAGATTTCAGTCTTCAGCCAAATCATATTTACAGTAAATGCAGACAGGAGTCCATAACTAAGGATCTGCTCCTGAGGCAGGTTCAATGATCCATGGCCACATCTTCAGGTACCTGTCACGAGTGGTACCTGTTCGGTGAACGATTTTAAAACGATTTGGGGTCGAACAATTTCTACTCTAAATTTCAGCCAAAATTACTTTTCAACTGATATCCACAATTTCGTTGTACTCCTTTGCCATTTATCTGGCATGTTATTAAAAGGAAACTTTGTAACATGAATTTGGCACCAGTGCGGGCATGCCCTTTATGGGAATGACAAGTGGCGGTAATTGATCTTGGTCATAAATTATGAGTCTTAGTGTCAGACCAAGTTTGATTTGTACGAGTGGCTTATGACTCGCTTGCAAATATTTGATGTCAAGGGTAATTTATACGCTACGAAATCTTGTTAAAACAATGGCGTCCTTGCTATGTTTTGTGGGTTTGCTGCTCGTAGGGTTCGCGTCAGCCAATCTAGAAGGTAAGTTGTTTACAATTGACCCAATATTCAGACGTTTTATTGTAAAACACCAATTACGTATTCGTTAGAGCATTTTGATAGCAGTAAATAAAGCATGTTTCTTCCTCATTTCCTTTATTTTACTTTAATGAAGAAAACACCTAACGCAAAACCACGAGAATAAGGGATTTTTATATCTTTTCTTTAGAAGTTTCAAAACGACCGAAGAGAGTTGGAAACGTTTTCACTTGTAGTAATGTTTTGGTTACAGACATTATACAATCTCAGACGATAAGACCTGCTTTTATGAGAAAATTGATTTCACCAGTTCGCGAAATAGACGCTTCATATGTTAAGAACACAGAAACAGGTCAAAGCGATTCTAGATATGTCACAGTTTATCAACACCCACTACTTAGACCTTTTTGCTCCAGGATTTAAAATCCCATTAAATAAGTTAGGTCATCAGTCACGTAAAGTTTCCATAAGTTTTGCGGACTGTCATGACTATTCTCATTTATTTAGAGTACTCCTTATCATTCTCTTCAATAATTTTATTTCTGTGCATTAAATCTGAGTAATTGAGCCGTCTATTTAAAATAAACGCACAGCAGCAGAATAATATTCTTTAGTTTACCGTATGACTACTGTTCATTTTGCAATGTGAGATGGCTCTAAGTCCAAGGAAGTAACTTACGTGTTTAACCACTGGATTAGTAAGTAACTTGGAGCGATTAAGAGGTTACTTGAGAGGAAATATCCATTGAGCGTCGAAAGTAATTCTGCATTGTTTCACGTTGCTCTCTGGTTTGCACAGATTACGTGCGATATCCCTTAACCTTTAACTCCTACAAGTGATTAGTAACTATTTTCTCCTAAAACAATCACAGGGGTCATAAGAATAAAGGAAATGATTACCAACTTAAGAGGCTCTTGACTGTTTAACAAGTTCTCTTCGTCAGTACTATAGCAAATGTATAGAGAACAGTAGGGAGAAAATATATACTACCAATCAAATTCAAAATTAATCGCGACTTGTCCACTCACGATTAGCCGTTGTAATCACTTTCGTCCTGATGTAAAGACACTAAAATTGAAAGCGCTTTAAGTGCTACTTAAGAATCGTCACTCGTAGATGACGCTCGTTTTTAAGCAATTTGTTCACAATTTGACTCTAAGGAGACGATTCCTATGCATACCATTAATCCAGAAAAATACCAACTTCTTTACTTTCCTTGAAACGTTTGCAGGTCATCAACAAAGATCAACAAAACACCATTCCTCACCTCACAAAAATCATCATTCTGTCCAAAATACACCCCTTGTCGAGCCAGGCGCTCAGAAAAATATAATTGCGCACAAAACCCCACAGAAAACCACATTACAGAAACCTCAAGTAAAGCAATCCGTTCCACTGACTTCTGTAAATAAACCAGCTGCGCAGAATGAGGTTAAGACAGTAGATTCTAAAGCAGTTGAGGGGACCAGACAAGCAACTGGAAGAGCAATTTTATTACATAATGCTAATGGTCAGGGACATGTTGTCCAAGGTAAAACAGATTACAAGAAAGCTATTTTGTATATTTGACGGTATAACACTCAATCTTCCAGCATTTAACTCTGAAAACTTATTCACCCCAAAATTTACAAAGCTGTGCTGTTTCCAGCCTCGTTGGAGAGTTTCAAAGAAAAACTTTGTAATTCAAGGGGTATACAGACTTGCAAAATTTGTGATTATATCAAATGCGCACATACACAGATTCATTCCCATTAATGGTTTAAAAATAACCCCCCTCCTTATCCCTTATCCTCTAAACCCCTTAGTTGAATCCCCCAGGGGTAAATAGCCCCCATTTTACCATACAATGTTAAAGTGAAGTAGATTCATCATTAAAGAAATTTATTCTCTACTGACCGTAAAGGCTTTGTTCTGATACAACTTCAAACACACTAAAATGTTATATAAATCTTATTAAACAGACTCACCCAGTGGGAAAGCTCAAGTGATTGTTATCAACTCAGAGGTTGCAGCTGACAATGGTATGATGGCAGATAACCAGATAACCGTCCTATCTGAATTTTTCTATACACGATGCATTACTGTTATATTTCAGGCCAAACCTAGAACGTTGAATCATTTTGAATTTCTCATAGCAAAGGTAGAAAACTTCGTTTCGTTTTATATGCAAAGCACCAATAATTCCTCTGTGAGACACTTGAAAAAATCTTACAAAAGGTTAACTTAAAAGATAAACGAAATACGCGTATGATAAAAACCCTTCAATCGCGACTGAATCGAACAGCCCTGGATGGGATGTTAGTCTACAGTACTTTTGCAGGTTTTCCTGTAAATACTTCCGGTCTATGTTATACTCCAGGGTGGAGTGGGGAGAAGCATTGCGAGTGTGAGGTGTCTTGATCATTAACACGCGCCCACGGGTAGAGCCGGCAGCTCTTCATCCTCAGTCCATCGGTCTATGTTATACTCCAGGGTGGAGTGAGGAGAAGCATTGCGAGTGTGAGGTGTCTTGATCATTAACACGCGCCCACGGGTAGAGCCGGTAGCTCTTCATCCCCAGTCCATCGCGAGCGCACTAGCCATCAGCCCACCATCTTTGTGAGTCCAATACGCGTTCAGCGCACTTACAAATTTTTCCGTGGATATCGTGTCTTATTTACAACGAATATATCAGTTATCTTACCCTGTTCCTATTAAAAAACCATCGACGCTGTAACTCGGTGTTTTTCAGCCAAAAATTTGGCCAACAATTCAAACAAGTATATTTCGAGTTTTCAACTGATTTTTGATTTACTTTGTCTTTCATTTGGTAAAAGGTGGTAAACTCGATCCATTCTCCCAAGATTGTCTCGATGCACATAACAACTATCGAGCTAAACATGGAGTCCCCCCTCTTATGTGGTCACGTGAATTGGCAGATGGAGCGCAAAACTGGGCGGATCAACTGGCGTCCACTGACTCTTTACAACACGATGAAGTCGCCATACACAACCGGAAGATGGGTAAGTTTATGAAATTGTTAAGTTGCATATATTTAGTGGACTGATACCGGAAGAGGCTCATCCCAATTTCTAAGGAGCGCTTCAGGGAATTTTTTAAAACAGAGTTTTATCCAAGATCACCTCTCGACCAACTCACGCCTGCGCTCCCTTCCCCTATTTTTACAGCGGTTACAGAAACAAATTCACTCAGTTGAGTATTATTTTGCAAGGATAGTGTCAGAGAATTAATGGGTCTGATGAAATAGTGGGAGGAGAAAAGAGGGGGGCGGGTGCGTCCAGACCCCACGGAACCTCCCTTTAGCAGAGTCTCGCTACATGAGGTCCTTGTGGATCGGGCGCCCATGGAGCTCCTGAGCAACCAAATAAGCGGAGTTTTCTTTTCTTTTTCTTAGGAGAGAACCTGGCTTATTTTCAACCAGCCGTTCCGAAATGCGAAGGTGCCATGGTTGACAACTGTGTTAACTGCCGAGAGATGGTCCAACGGTGGTACGATGAAGTTAAGAACTATGATTTTGATAAAGGAGGACCTAAGGCAGCCAGCAGTGCTTACAAACACTTTAGTCAGTTGATTTGGGCTAACACCGCTGAACTCGGAGTTGGAACCGCGGTCAGTAAACGGTATGGCTTTATAACAGTGGCACGGTACAGACCGACGGGAAATGATGGCGGGATTGAGGAGTTCATAAGGAATGTTCCTCCAGAAGGAGGTAATATGTATTTAAAGTGTAAGAATATTTGATCATAAGTACAAAGAATTCGGCGAAAATTGTTAAATTTGATGATTTGCTTTATTTCTCGCGAAGGATTCCTTTCACTAAAGAAATTATAAAATTTTTTATCGCGTTTTAGCGTCTGAGAAAATTTGAAAATGATTCATTCATGTTTGGAAGGCTGCCGAATATCTCACAAAAATGAGAAAAATCCTGCAGCTTTGGCAGTTTCATAGATGTTTTTCTAACATAAACACTCTTGAAAATACAAGATGGACATAACTGTGGTACCTATCTGAGACCGTCTGATTCTTATCTCAATATAAATAACTTTTATGTGCAAGCGTAGCCTCACAGGGGCTTAATTAGCCAGGGCAATTAAGTCTTGTTTGCTAGCTTGCGTCTATGGACATAAAACGTCATGTGGTGTTATGGTGTCGTGATCGTCAAAGGTGGGAGGAGAGGGTGATTCACCTTTGATTTGCCGTTTTGATTGCTTTCACAGCACTATCAGAAAGACGCTCCAAACTTCATTCGTGTTACTTCTTTTTTTTCTGTGTGATAACTTATATATGCTGTGTTATAAATCTCAGGACCTCTACCGACATTATCTGCACCACTCCAAGACAATGCAAAACACGCGGGGGACGAAAAAATCTCCCCTTTATCGCAGAAATCTCCAGTTGTTTCCCAAGCAACAACAAACTCAGTTGCTTCTCAAACAGCAAACAAAGATTCATCCAAAGCCGACAAGGAGAAGGGCTACGCGCCAACCGTAACAAGCGGGGCTCCAATTTTGGCTAAAGGAGCCAAACTTGGAGGTCAACTGGCGTCTGTTCAACCAATAGACAAAGAGCAGCATCACAAGGGTGGTTTTGTGCACACACTGACAGCCAATGACGGAACGAAGGCTCAGGTTTACCTTAGCAGAAATGGAGCCCATGCGGGCATAGTATTCAGAAACGAAATATCCAGAGGTAAGCCAAAAAACAATTAATTCAGTTACAACTGTAATCGAATTTGATAAGCTCAATTTTGCACTTATTTTAAGTAAAATTTTTCTCACGTTGAGTAAAAGTAATTTAGTCCCAATTTGTGTAACTTAGATCAGGATGACTGAGAGCGTGTGTGCAATTATCTTCACAGTTGCAATGAATACAAGAAAGTGTTCATGTTGGGTTAGGGGAGGGGGAGTAGGAGTGCAGTTGTTCAGATAGTTACATTGATCCGAAGTCCGAATCCAAATTGCAGACTCCGTGTTACATTTCCCAGCAAGTTTGTGCAGGTATTCAGGTCAAAATTTTGCAATAAGTGAGTGCACTTTTTCCAGTGGAACGTTTGAGTGTTCATATACTCAGCATTTTTGTTCGATGAGGAGAGGCTGTAATATAACGGCAAAAGGTGTGAATTGAGCGCCATGGTTGAAAAGACAGACCAGAGGTGAATAAGGAAGCGAAGGAACTGGACCCGAAAATCTATCTGAGAGCCTGCGGCAACAGAGGGTTTCATTTTCATAATACTTTATCTTGAACTCATACTTACCATAATATAACTTTATATATACATATTTTTTTTGTTTTCCATAGTGACTTCAGATGAGGATACGACAGGAGTGAAAAGGACGATAAATGTGCTGTAACAATTTTGAAATGTTTTCCATCATAAAACTAATGAACAGGAGTCTGTCTAAATACCATAGAATGACTGGACAGTAGTTTTCAAGGTCGTTTAAAACTGATATTCAAAGCAGTCACTGCTGATAAACGCATCGCATAAAAAGGAACAGATAATGTTCTAAACCTCAGTAAAATCACGAGATCTAACAATTCCCCTTGTAGATTTTGTACATTCACTTGTAAATTTATTAAGAGAATATGGAGTTACATCGTGTGATATATCCATAGTAGTATAGTTAGTTTAGAGTCGTATGGGAAGGGTCGGGTAATCTGCAGTTTTCAAACAAACAGAGTCGCACCTTTTGGCGCCGTGAAGGATTGAGACAATGCAATGTCATCACGATAATAACATTTTATTTATTTTCGTTATTATACCAGTATTATTCAGAATCTTAAATTATGATTAACTTGAATTTTAAGGACTCTTAATACAGTAGCATGGATTAATTATTCTATGAAGAAAAGTTGCCTGCAAGGCAGGAAGGCTTGTACGGGTTTTAAGGGTTCATATGGGGATTTAAAGTAAACTGGTACCGAGAACATCACAGAAAGCATATGACGGTTTGAGTCAAAAGTTCGCTCTGAAAATGTGATTAAAATTTCATTCAGTGCTGCTGCAACTGAAAAACGCTGAAGAAAATGATGATGGTGATGACAGAGATAAATGTGTTAATTAAAAAATGGTAGGAGTAAATAAACCTGTTGATAGTGGGCGATACCTTTCAAAAAATAATAAAATTGATTCACAATGAAGATTTCAATTGTTTATTGCGTTTTTGCTATGCGTTTCCGGTGTAAAATATATTGGGTTTTATAAAGGGTTGTTTCTATCTGCAGGATTTCATTACGTATTGCACACACCCTGATCCAATAAACCAAGTATTTCCCCTCTTTTTGGCCTCTTACAAGTCTTGTTAGGTACCTTTATCTGGCTGTCATGAATGGATAAGCAGAAAACGCTCGTCAAACACGCGCCATTTTCAAACAGTGAAACAAGGAAATTAAAATAAAAAAAAAACAGAGAGATTGACGGCAAGATGTAATGCTAAGATGGCGCTCTTTGGTCTTAAGTAAAAATATAACATTACCGTTTAGACGTTTACAAATTGGCCATTTTAATTTCCAGTGTAGAAACGGGACAAAAGCAACTAGCAAATGATAAACACGTGCTGGGAGTCTTTGCCCTTTTCTCCACTAGAACAAGGCGTTCTGTCAACGAGATATACATTTATAGCGTACGATACAGATCGCTTGAGATCAGTGCAAAACAAGTAAGCAAGCATGAAAACGCATTGGTTAATTCTACCTTCTGGCTGCTATTAAAGATTGCACTTAGGATTAGATTCATCGAAAACTCATGAAGGAAGATGTTAAAAAATGGGAGGCACTTACACTCCTTAAGGATAATAAAAAAGATTAATATGTTAAATTCAAAGAGCTTAATCTTAAAATTAGCATGCAGACAAAAAAGCACTGCAAATAGGTTTGTTTTAATATCAAAAGAGTCTATTTATTTTTTTATTATTATTTTATGGGCTCGTTCGCTTTTCCGCTAATTTGATTTTCATGCATTTTTTCGGTTTGAACCAAGTGCTATTTCCAAGGAAATACCTGTTCCTTTTCTTGCCTTGTTGTAACAGTGTATATGTGTTTGAATTAAGGGTTTGATAACACTTCAGAGTTGTGCAAATCAAAGAATAAAAGATTTGTTCGAAAAAAAGCCTGACCCCCCCCAGCTCTTCCTTCTCGAACGAAAAAAAAAATGAAAACGACACCGGAAAATTCCTGGGTAACAACAGGTATGTTCAGAAACTCTCCAAACGTCATGTCGCGAAGCGCGAACTCAGATACTCAAATGGACTGTATACGTTCGTATGTTGGCTCCACTGAAAGGACTTCTTGTTTCATAGAAGCTACAAACAGCTAAAGAGTTTCATGTACGAAAGAATAAATTTGACATTCTATCCCTATTTTCGCACCTCAAGCGCTCGTCACTTCTTGGTCTTGCTAGGATGATGGGATGGGTTTATCATCCCATTTAACAGGTGTCGAGGCTATAGCGTGAAATTTGAACATGAAAACAACTCGAATCGTTGATATCCGAATGTAATTCAAAAAAAGAAATTAGTCCTTTGCCTCCAGAGCACCAAATTGACCTTTCTTCTCAACTAAAAGATATCTTTGATAAAAACATGACTTTACCGCTTAATGAAAATAAAATTAATAACGCTGTTGAACTGAAGAAATCCCAGGGAAAGCAGGTACCCGTTACTCAGGAGGCAAAATGAACGAAGTGAGCAAACTTGGTTCTAAAATAAGGTTTTCAGTGCTGATTTTAAACCTTCTTGTTCTGCCCTCAAATATTTTGACCAGGATCTCCTTGGATGTATTTAAATTTAATGGTATTTTGAATCGATACCGACAAACTTGATCTTATGAGATTCAAACCCACGTAATTAACTACCAAGATTGATCAATGTATAATCTCTCCTTACAGAATCAGTACGTCCTCAGGCAGATTTGTAAAGAGAAATAAAATTAAGGTTAAGCCTCGACTACAGAATATCATGTCGGCGTTCACCTCGTAAGAACTAAGTATTTAACTAAACATATTGCTTAAACGTTAAGAAGCATATTCATTACACGCTGAGCGAAGGCCTCAATAGACAGCTGCGATTTTTAAAATTAGAAGTGCACTAAAATAAAAGATACATCGGAGTTAATAGAAACTTATCATGTTAGAGAGAATACGTTTCTACCTCTTGCCTTCTCGCAGCGTCTCCTTGAGCTTTTCATTTGCAATCAGCTGTCAATAGACCTCAGAATGTACAGTGAGTATTTGTAGCTGAGTTTGAGTTTATAAACCTTCAGTAATAACTCCAAGTCTCGATTACTACCTCAGAAAAGAATGTAGGTTTAGTTCCCGGGAGATGAGGTAACCCAAACAAACCGCTACGGTTAAATGAATACCGCGCTCTAATTGGTCCGATATGGGAATATTACCTGTTCATGCCGGTATTATGAGGTAATAGGTGTCACAGGGGTGATTCTTGGATGTTTATGTAATCGGACACACTCAAGTGCATCGGATTGATCGCAGCTAGCGAGTTAGAATGCAGAAAAAGTGGCTTTCGATTTCACGGCTGAGTTGATGTGTGAATTCTCCCGGTTCACGCACGAGTGCTGAGGATGTCATGGCACTGAATATGGACTCAATTTTGAGAGTAGCTCCATTCTATTTGAATATTTTTTTTTTTGAAACAAAAATTTCCAATTTCGGAAAAAAAACCCTAGATAACGAGCCGTAGTGTTAAGAAATTCTGAAAGTTATTGTGCCTTTCTGCAAACAGATATCTCCTTGAGTTGTTGGTTAAGACGCGAGGAAAGGATGACGACTCCTACGTTTCGTGTTTATTTTGATTTTGAGCTTCATGCCTACCTCAAAAACTGCGAAAGTAACAGAAATTTACCCTTAAAATACTTAAATTCGCGATTGAAATATACCTTTTGTGACCGTGGATTCAAGTAAGGGTTCCCTGAGAAACTTAAACACAAATCACTATGCAACAATCGATGTAACTGCAATTCTTTTGATTTCCTTCATACTTTGTTGTACTCCGTATCATATTGGTTTCAGTTTGTTTAAATTACGGGGGACAGGAAAAAACAAGTCTTCTAATAAATAACACGATGGAACTCACAACACAAAATTTATCACTCTTAAATATAAGCCAACGTTTGTCTGGTGTTGAAATCTAATATAGCGGACTCAGCAACGCCCGTGAGCCAATGGGAAACCGCTTTATAATATTTTCAAGGTATGATACAGTGGATAATAGTCGAAAGCTTTCGTTGATGTGGATAATAATTGTTAACAAAGGAGTTTTTTTATGAAAACATGTCTATAAACAGCTCTACGCCAATGAAATAACTATTTCGACCTTTGAATTGTAAACGGCAGGTGCCACTTACACGCCCGAATGAGAAAGGGCGTTAACATACAAACACCGTGGAAGAACTGGGTGACTGATCATTCTCTCCTGAATTTGAGAATAAAGCTTACCTCGGTTTCTGTTGCACAAAGCGACTAAGTTTGTCGCTACTGCCATTGGATGGAGAACTATTGGACTGTTATTACCTTGGTAGAGAGAGAGAGAGAGAGAGAGAGAGAGAGAGAGAGAGAGAGAGAGCTAGAGTGATCTGGGTATTTGCTACGTGGTTAGATTCTTGTGGGTATTTTCTACGGTACAAAATACCCATTGAGGGTTTTTGCTACGGTAGGAAATACCCATGTGGGTTTTTGCTACGGTAGGAAATACCCATGTGGGTATTTGATACGTTCAATGGGTTTTTGCTACGGTAGCCAATACTCATCTGGGTCTTTGCTACTCCCAAGTGGGTATTTGTTACCGTAGCAAATACTCAAAATGGGTTTTTGTTACCGTAGCAAATACTCAAAATAGGTATTTGACAAATTTTTTACCTATTTCAAGGTTTCATATTAAAGAAAACTATTTTTTTGGTTCTACGGTTTATTACCGAAGAAGTACATCATTAGCGGTCAGCGTTCACACACTTCAACTTTCGTTTTCGTGTTTCACGTGTTCGTCGATGACGGCAACTTTCAAACGGTAAGAAAATAAGATCAACATAGGTTTCTTGTTATATTTCGTCCCTTAAGCAAGTGGTTATCAACGAAATACGCTTTGCAAGCATCCAAGGTATAAGTGTCGATATATTTTTTACAATATTTGAGAAAAAAGCCGATAAACTTGAAGAATGATTGGCCTTCGTAATATCTTACATAATTATCGGTTTACTTATATTTAACTTCCAAATCATATAGATATGAATCGTAGAATGCATTTTTTCTGCTTTGTTCTAACAATGAAGTGGGTGAAAGCTCTTACTTAAAAAATAAAATTGCTTTTTATAAACAGAAATTCCCTTGATAGCAACAAAACATCGATCGATGTTTCAGGACTTTGGATAAGTTATTTTCGATGCTATTATTTATTGTGATCATCTCTTATCCTATTTCAATCCCTGTCAAATCATTGCAATCATCTCTTATGCTGTGTTGATCACTGTCAAATCATTTTAATCAACTGTTATGCTGTGTTGATCACTGTCAAATCATTCTAATTAACTGTTATGCTTTGTTGATCACTGTCAAATCATTCTAATAAACTGTTATGCTGTGTTGATTACTGTCAAATCATTCTAATCATCTGTTCTGCTGTGTTGATAAATTTCAAATCATTCTAATCAACTGTTATGCTTTGTTAATCACTGTCAAATCATTCTAATCATCTGTTATGCTTTGTTGAGCACTGTCAAATCATTCTAATCATCTGTTATGCCTTGTTGAGCACTGTCAAATCATTCTAATCATCTGTTATGCTGTGTTGATCACTGTCAAATCATTCTAATCATCTGTTCTGCTGTGTTGATCACTGTTAAATCATTTTAATCATATGTTATGCTGTGTTGATCACTGTTAAATCATTGCAATCATTTCTTATACTCTAGTGATCACTGTCAAATCATTCTAATCATCTGTTCTGCTGTGTTCATCACTGTTAAATCATTTTAATCATATGTTATGCTGTGTTGATCACTGTTAAATCATTGCAATCATT